GGGGCGTGTTAGAACGAGCTGTTTTAGGTAGGGGTGGCTGACTCTTAACTTTTATAAAGAATATCTCTTTGGATTTGAGACTTTAGTCTTTGCAACTTTACAGATCTTCTTTATGCACCAAGAGCTTGTAACACTCCAAAGAGAAAGGAAAACTTGAAATCGCATCATATGACCCCTTTAAAATGATAAGAACGTGTGCTTTTTTTAATATATGCTTAAGTGGCCTTTTATATAATCAATATTATATTGTCTACAAGTACAAGTTGTTTTCCATTAAAATGTGTTAAAATTAGGGTTTGTGCACATTCAATACTAAAAAAAAAATCACAAGGGGTGGCAGACCACTTCATCAAAACAAAATTATGGACCACCTACTATTACATAGTGTACAAATGATCCATAGCAGTTGGGCTATATGTGTTTGTCACGAGCATTTATTTTATTGTAATGAGTTAATTAATTTGTCGTATTTTACGTATTTACGTATTTATTTCGAAGAGATCTCAGTTTTCAGCTTATCAATTCCTAATCAACTTGTTTTTTCTTTGTTTTGACAAAACTGATTTCATGAGAAACATGAATTCAATCAAGCTTGTCTAAATGCTTGTCAATGCCTTTGTATTTATGAGAGTACAATGGCATTATCAAATACATCACTGTACCACCACAATACGTTTTTTGTAAATGTTGTTTCCACATATTTGATTCTCTTTATGTGTATTTCAGGATGTGTTGAGGAATATTTTGGATCTGAATGAGTCTGTGATTCAGAATGAAGAATTTGTTCTTTGTGTCAGTGGTGGAAAACGGTTTCCTGGCTCGATTCCACTGGCACACAGATACGGGGGCCATCAGGTAAAACTGAAGTTTCAAACCTAACGGCATAAGACAACGAAAACAAACATTTCAACTATGTTGTTTGATTATTATTTTTTATAGTTTGGTAATTGGGCAGGACAGCTGGGGGATGGAAGAGCACATTTGCTGGGTGAATATACAAACAGGTAAATGTCTCTATAATCTCTAAACACTCATCATTTTATGCCGAGTTCACACTGCACGATTTTCAAAGACGTCGCATCACTGTTGGTTTCACACTGAACGACTATCTGGGGTAGCATTCAGTTGTTGCTGTGTTCACATTGCACGATGGAACAATGACAGGAGGTTACACACTGCATGACTTTACAATAGGGAGAATCACCGATAACACTGTCTGGTGCAGGGTTGCCAGGTTTTCGCTACAAAACCCGCCCAATTACTACTCAAAACTAGCCTGAAAATAGCCCAATTGCTTTCGAGGGGGTCCCCCAGTAAAAATCGCATTCAGGGGTAAAATACACATTTTTTTGGCGGGGTTCTCCTGGTACAATTAACATTCCAGGGCCTAAATATCACGTTATTGGGGTCTCTTCAACCTGCTGACATAAAAAACAACCGGCGGCAATCGCGGATTTGGCAACACTGGTCCGCAAACTATGTTTCATATAACTCCTCCCCGAACTTCCCACTGCCCTGTATCTTGGTCTCTCATTGGCTGTAGGTCATCGCCGATGTGTTTTTCAGTCAGAACTCATTGCACACAGCGTGATTGTGAATCGCCGACAGCTCCAGATATTTAGCATGCCAAATATTTCATGGGTGTCGGCGACGCATCGGCGATTCCCTCAGATCGCGTCTTTGATAATTCACACTGTGTGATTGTCACTCTCGTGAACGAGCACCGATTTGCCTCCGATTTCGGGCATTTGTCGGCGATTTCGCAAAACCTGTCGGCGAGTGAAAAATCGGGCTAAAATCGTGCAGTGTGAACTCAGCATTACACAATGTTTAAAGGAATTGTTCACCAAAAAATTGACATTTTCTTTTAATTTACTCATGCTCAGGCCATCCAAGACATAGGTGACTTTCTTCAGTAGAACAGTAAAGATGATTTTTAGCTGAACCCATGGTCCTTGTTTATTCATAATCTGCAAGATAATGGGTGCCGTCACAAAAAGCAGTTACAGGAAACACAAAAGTAATGCCTGTGGCTTCTGGTGATATATTGAGGTATGCACACGTGTCCTCCCTCTCTGCTGTAAACAACAATGGCATCACTTCACACGTGACTTTGCTACCACGCATGCATAATCATGCAACAGAAACCTTGAGCTCCAATGATGTTTGCCTGAGGCTATGGAGTACAGGTATATAATGTTGTAAATAATCTTCAGTTTCTTGCACAGATCAATTGTTTTGCTTCATAAGACCTCAATATATCATCAGAAGCTACAAGTATTAATTTAGTTTTTCCTGTAACAGCTTTTTAGACTCTCAATGTGATGGTACCCATTAACTTGCATATTATGAATCAGCTAAAAATCATCTTCAGTGTTCTACTGAAGAAAGTAAGTCACGTGCATCTTGGCTGGCCTGAGAGTGAGTAAATGTATGGCAATTTTGTATTTTTGGGTGAACTATTCATTTAAGCATGCAGCTGAACAATTAACATATCTCAGTTTAGAAATGTGACAAGTGTTCTGAATGAGAGTAGGCCAGTCTTCAGTCTCTCTTTTTTTTATCCAGAAAAGGTGAAAGATGGGAACTCCAGTTGAAAGGCTCAGGAAAGACACCGTACTCAAGGTGAATTTTGCTTCTGTGGTTTCACAGTATTTGCTTTATACTGTGTGTTATCTTAAGAAATACATAATTATTTTTCTTAGTTGTTATACAGTATATAGTCATGATGTTGTGTGCGTAGGTCTGGTGATGGACGGGCTGTGATTCGCTCCTCTGTGAGGGAGTTCCTGTGCAGTGAAGCCATGCATTTTCTGGGGGTTCCCACAAGCAGAGCCCTCAGGTGCATAACATACACATTATACACTATTTTATATGTGTGTAAAATTGTGTTTTATACACAGTCTCATATGTATGTGTACATATGCGAAGATGCCTTATGCTAATTAGTGAGGTGGGAGAGAATGAATGGGCATGCACAAAAACATTAATACTGTATTTACCACGTTCAAATTTTGCTGTTTTGCTTTTTTTTTTTTGTCTATCGTTTGTCAGTCTGGTTGTAAGTGAGGAGCCTGTATGGAGGGATCAGTTTTATAATGCCAATGTCATAAAAGAAAGAGGTAAAACTACAATCAGATGAAAAAATACTGTAAATGAACACTTTGTTCTTGATCAGTCTTTATCTTTATAAATCATGGCATGTGATTGTTCTCTGTGTCCATCAGGAGCGGTTGTTTTGCGCCTGGCCAGGTCCTGGTTTCGTATTGGTTCGCTGGAGATACTAACTAGAACCGGAGAGTTAGATGTCCTGCAGTAAATTAACTTTAACTCAGGAGGGTAATATTTATTCTCAGACTTACTCTCATTTAATGTTTTTTTTCTGTATTTCATTTTTAGGACATTATTGGACTTTATAATTAAAGAGTATTTTAAATCTATTGCGATGAATGACCCTGACAAGTATGTGGTATGTATCTCAGTGTCTCTCTTATGTTTAGTTGTAATACAGAGTTATTTTATACTTTCTAACCAGCTTGACTATATTTCACTGGGTTTCAGGTGTTTTTCTCTAGAGTGGTGAATGAAACCGCACATTTAATCGCTCTCTGGATGTCAGTTGGATTTGCGCATGGTTAGTTGACTCTTCTTTACTAGTTTAATTATCACAGACTGTTATATTATAGATTGAGCTGAATACCCAAAATGTTCAACCATATGATCTGCATCTTCACGCAGGAGTATGCAACACAGATAACTTCAGTCTGCTTTCTGTCACTATTGACTATGGCCCGTTTGGATTTATGGAATCATATGACCCAAGTAACTTTCTTTTTCCCATACTTCAAAATATTAGTGACCATTTTCTTGTAATAGTTTAAAGTTTGTTGTATAGCATAACATGTAACGTGTGTGAATATATACGTATCATATATATTTCATACAATTTTCCTTTTTAAGTATAGTTCAGTACAAAATTAATTATTACTGCATTAATTGTTGTATTTTATTTTATTCTATTCTATTAAGTGAACATGAAACTAACCGACCAAAAAACAACATTGCTACAGCATTTTTTTTTCTGTATAGATTTTGTCCCCAACACATCTGATGATGAGGGCCGGTACAGTATAGGAGCTCAGGCTAATGTGGGCCTCTTCAATCTACAGAAACTTCTAGTAGCTCTGAAACCACTGCTGACCTCAGATCAGCTGACACAGTAAGAGCTCTTTTTATTTTCTGATTATATTGATCTGGAATGAAACGGGTGATTCATGTATAATTTCATTTGTTCATTTCAGGTGTCGGCAAACACTGAGAGAATATTCACAAACCTACCATCAAAGGTGAGCATGCCATTAAACTGTACACTGAACACTGTATTAATCTCTGAGTCATTTCTAATCTAATTCTTCTAATTTTGTTACAGATTCCATGAACTGTTCAAAGCAAAGTTAGGCTTTCTGGGAAATCAAGAAAAGGATTCATATGTGATTGCATTTCTTCTAAAGGTAAATATTAGCTGTGTGTGTGTGTGTGTGTGTGTGTGTGTGCGCGCGCACATGTTTGTGAGAGAGAAATATACATTAATACAGTGGTGTGAAAAAGATGATTTCTTATTTTTTTGCATGTTTGTCACACTTTAATGTTTCAGATCATCAAACAAATTTAAATATTAGTCAAAGATAACACAAGTAAACACAACATGCAGTTCCCATCACATCTGGCATAAAAGTAACACTGCATTTCAGAAAAAGAGCATCAGACCAACAGTAAAATATGGTGGTGGTAGTGTGATGGTCTGGGGCTGTTTTGCTGCTTCAGGACCTGGAAGACTTGCTGTGATAAATGGAACCATGAATTCTGCTGTTTACCAAAAAATCCTGAAGGA